TTGGACAAGACCAAGATTATAAACAAATGTATGATTATTTAAGGGAACTGATATTTCCACACTCTATTTTTGATATTTCCACACCCCCTGCTAAAATATGCAGATCAGGTTGGCTAATACAGAACTCGTGTAATGATTATATCCGATACACATATTTTAGCAAGGAGTGTGGAAATATCAAAAATAGGGTGTGGAAATATCTACTCCCTTATTTAAAATATATTATTTTAACAAGAAATTATATTTCTAGCGATAATATTTATATATTTTTAATTCATGAAATTTTTAAAAAACTCTACTATATTTCGTAAATCCCGCGCGGGCATGTGGGATTTTTAAAAAACTGCAATTTGCATATCACTAATTTTATTAAATATTAAGTGTAAAGCCACATTTGTAAGTGACGAAATTGAATTATATAAATAAAAGTCGAAGTGGCCATAAGAGAATTATGCTTCGTTTGCTTTATTAAATAATAAGTCCCATACTATACATCGTCCATGATATTACATTAACACTCTACCCAGTATAAACCCTATAAACCCCTATAAAAATCGTTGTTCGTTTAAGTTCTTGATCACGTGACTTGACTACTTGCCTTCGCTGACCCCAAGTGACCAAAAGCCTTAATCACCCACCAACCAAATCTAACACCCTCTTTCGAAAGGTTACCTATCGTTGGTTACACGAAATTTTGGATTGTGGGGCGACCGAGTCGCAGTTTTCCGAGCACGACAATATTAGGGATACCGATACTTTTCAAGGGTTATTGTACGTAATACTATACGGTAAAATTGACCACCAAAATTGTCACTGCAGGTTCTTGATTTTGATTGGCTAATAGTGATGATCAAAAATTTAAACTAATGAAATCACAGTCACCTATTAAGTGAAAAATGTTCCTGGGCCAATTTTATCATCATGGGCCTATTTCTTTTAAAACTTCTATTTTGGAATGAAAAGGTTAATTCCGGCCAAAAATTATGTAACCGATTATGTAATAAGGGCCAAAAGTTATATATCACGCAGTTAGCGACCGGGTAAAATCGCCACCCAAAGAAGTTTCTAAAACCATGATTAAATCATGTTAATAATATTTATTAAAATATTATCATAATTAATTTAGTAAATGATTTTTTCTTTCTTCGATTCTTTAAAGTGAAAAGCAATCGTTAAAAGCATAAAATCCAATAAACATACTATTCTAAAAAACATATGTTAATTGCCGTAACAAAATTTCCACCAACAATAAATGAAAAAAAATTAAAATCGAAAAAAACTAATCAAGAAAATGCAATTGCACCAGAAAACCTTGTAGATTTTATTTTTAATGCTCTTCCGGAAGATTATAACTGATTATTTATTTAAACTCAGGGCGCAACAAAAAAAAATTTATTGAAGAAAACATAATGAATCCAAATAGTAACAAATGGCTCGATAGTATTAATGAAAACTTTGTGCCATTGCATAAATTGGAGGATTATAATCATTTTAAAAAGGCGAAAAACCGTAACCATAATACTTTCTGGCTGTAATAAATATTACGTTTATTGAGTTATTCGAAATAAATAATATGATTAATTTATTACTTATCGTTATTATTTTGTCAATCTAAAATTTTGTTTGTATGAATTTTTAGTGCTCGATATATTTGTCATGTGTTCGAAACTTTTTTTGGGTGATGATTTTACCCCGGTCGCTGTTAGCCAATTAAAATCGAGAGTCGCCGTGACAAATTGGTGCGGCAGCTAGAGTCAATGTACAACAAATGTTACACGACATTTCACATTAATTACAGAATTATATATTGGAAACGAAAAATTCGTTGTGCTTGCTTGTACTGTACTAAACATTAATTCTTTTAAAATGTTGATTTTACCGAATGAATGCCTTATTGAAATATTTAATAATTTTAGAATTAATTATGAAACCTTATTTTCATGCCTTCTTGTAAACCGTCAATGGTGTAGAATTATTGTACCAATATTATGGAGTGAACCTACATATCATTTAATTGATAAAAGACTTATAACAATATATCTTTCAGCACTAAATACTGAAGAGCAAGCTTTATTGATCCCCTTTAGAATTACTCTTCCAAATTATCCAAGGTCATTATTTGAGTACGAAAGTTACATTACTTCAGTTGATTCTTATTTAAATAATGGTGTCAAAAATTGGCTTAAAATTGAAGGATATAGTGTAAATTATTTTGAAAAAGATATACTTTCAGATGCTATCAAATGCTCTTTAGTTGTAATGTTTCTACGAGCAAGTAAAAATCTTAAACATTTAAAACTTAAAATTACCACTAATACAACAACATTAATAGACGCTCTTTGCAAAAATACCACGTTAACTTCTTTAGACCTTAGTTATAATGCATTTGAATCAGATGCCGGAAAAGCATTGGCAGATGCACTTTGCAAGAATACCACGTTGAAATATTTGAATTTTTATAATAATATGCTTGAATCAGAAGGTGGAAAAGCATTTGCAAATGCACTTTGCAAGAACACCACGCTTACTTCTTTGGATCTTGGTTATAATAATCTTAGTTCAGAAGGAGGAAAAGCTTTAGCAGCTGCACTTTGCAAGAATACCACGTTAACTTTTTTGGGTCTTAGCGGTAATAATATTGGATCAGAAGAAGGAAAAGCATTAGCTAAGGCGCTTTGTATGAATACCACACTGACTTCTTTTAATCTTGGTTACAATGATCTTGGATCTGAAGGAGGAAAAGCTTTAGCTGATGTATTTTATAAAAACACTACACTGACTTCTTTAAAACTTGGTTCGAGTAAACTTGGATCAGAAGGAGGAAAAGCATTGGCTATTGCACTTTGTAAGAATACCTCTCTAACTTCTTTAGATCTTCATAATAATAATCTTGGGTCAGATGTCGGATATGCCTTAACAGATACACTTTGTAAGAACACCACGCTGACTTCTTTGGATCTTGGTCTTAATGACCTTAGTTCAGAAGGTGGAAAATTATTAGCAGATGCACTTTGCAAGAACACCACGTTAACTTTTTTGGATCTTAGTAGTAATAATCTTGGATCAGACGTTGGATATGTATTAGCAGATGCACTTTGCAAGAACAACATTCTCAAAGAATTGCGTATTTGGAGCAATAATATTAAATTTGCTATAAAATCTAATAATCCAAAAATCACTATTTATCAATTTACTTAATAAATTATCTGCAGTTAAAATCTTTACGTAATTATAAATCAGGTAACTTAATGTAAAGTGCAACGATTATTATAATAATCAAATTAAAATTTAAATCAAATAAAATCATTTTAAATTGCTTAGAACCCAGGAACGGATGCAAATTCGTTCTGCATATAGTAGTATAGTCGGAAATACAAAAAACTAGTGCATTATGATTAGGTGAGGTAGAGGTTTATATAAATAATTCACGTGTTAACTTAAAGATCATAATGTACATGAATATAATGAATTCTTATTATCATAAATTACTAAATATACGAGTAATAAAACGGCGACGTTTCATTTAGGGATTAGAATCAGTTTAGTAAAAATCCGTATAGTAAACTATTACGACTAAACATAATAGTCACTGGTTAGCACATTAAATTTAAAGTCAGATACTTCTTTTATTTGTCATCCAAAATGATTATCCCGTGATCTGAAGGATCACGGTATTCTAAATTACCCAGCTCATATGTGCAAACAGATCTCAGTTAGTTAATTACTGGTATTCGAATTAGTTATAAGGGTGAAGATAACAGAAGAGTTCTCTGTAAAATAGTGTATTAACTTTTAAAATTAAGAGTTAGGGCCTTAAGCGTTACGGTATTATATAATCTACGTAGCATTATACAGTATATTTATTCCTTGCTTACATTGATTTTTTGCATGCCATCCGATTAGGTGCAGAGCTAAATTCTCCTTGACCAGTTTTAATTTTTAAATCGTAATCCATTTATTCATATAGCAATTAAAGTGATTCTAAATTGAAACCATTTATATAATCAGCAATTCCTCATGATTACATGTGTTATATTCATTACAATGAGCACATTTCATAACCAATACATTTTACGTTTCATCTTAGTTATCCTTTACTAGGTATTGTAATTTATCGCCACTCTTAACTGACCAATTAGAATGCAAAATAAGTGCAACGTGAATCGAATCAAAACATTGTCTTTTCTGAAAAATCATCTGTAACTCAAGAACTTGCCTATGAAACTAATTCTTACGTTCTAATTAAACAAATTCCTTGCAAACTTTTAGAGTAGAACACACTCACCAAAGTAACGCTAATTCCAGTCTAATGCTGAGCCTAACCTTAAACTAACGTTACACGGGATCTTATGAGTGGCGATACGTCGCATAGGCGAAATACTTAATTATATACATTTATGTATCATATAAAATTAATTCTTATATATGCTTAGAGGTAGCATGGTTAAAGCATATGAAATCGACTCAAATTGCAGAAACAAATGAATTCTTAGTGGTATTGATAATGAAGGTCTTCATAAGATTTTAAGAAAAATTATCATGATCTTATTTCGCAACTAAACTAACGATTTAAATAGATTTTATCAAACAGGATATAATCATAAAGGTTTCAATGTGATCTATTTTGCAGGATAATGGCGTCAATGAATATATATTACAAAAAAAAAAATTCGGAAATGGCATTTATGATATTATGCCTTACGTCGCTCCCGAGGTTTTATTAGTCAAAGGTTTATGCAAGCTGCTAATATTCACGGTTTGGAGTCATTGTATTAAAGATGTCAGCTAGACAAAAGCCCTTTGATTGTTATTATATTATTCTTGGTTTTGCAATAAAAATTTGTAAAGGAATATGGCTCAAATTTGCTCCTGGAATTCCGGAATGCTATACCGAATTTGTTGAACAATGCATGACTGCTGTTCCTTGAAAACAGTCTGGTGTTTATTTAAACTTAGAGGATAGAATGAAATCATGAAAATTTTAGGTGATACAAATGAAATTAAAAAGCAATTCTTAAAAACAGATAAAATAGCCAATGGATTTGTAACGAAAGTCATAAAAATGTGCATTTATCGTAATTGATATTTGACATGTAAGTTACAAGGAAAAAACAGGAAAAATTTCAGTAGCTTCAAATCTATTTTTTCGTTCCGCAACTACAGTGTAGACCCTTCCTAAAGAAGGTATATTTCTGTGCAAGTACGTTCGTTGTAATCCATAAATAATGTTATTGATTATTTGCTGTGCATGAATATTTGGCGTATCAACAATATAGAAAAGAGAATCCGACGGAGGTCGACCATCACTTGGAAAGGGATTGCAGCCTTGAAATGTACGAATATCTGTAGAAAAAATATTATCTGTTAAAGATCTTAATTAAAATAATATATAATAATTAAATATACATACAATTCACCACAGTATTTTTTTGAACATTTCGTTGAACAAGTCCAGTTTCATTCCATTCAATTATGAGAAGAGGGTCTCCAAAATAAGTTAAATTATCATCATCATCACTGTCAACAACGTCTGAGAAGTGTTTTGCTCGAACGATATTCGCTCATTCCATAATACATTGTTTGGTATCATCATTGAGAGACTGTAAGACAGCTGGCAATTTTATTTTCCTGTAAAATTGCCAATTTTTAAATCTTTTTCTCTTTCTTTTTTTTTTGTGAAACGGAAATAATACTTAAAAGTCCTAGGAATTAATTGATATATAATCCAGTTGGGATTAGTATAATGAGAAAACCGTAGGTAATTAAAGGCGAAAATAATATAAAAATGAAATAGAAGCAAATGTATAAACAACAGTAATAAAATTTATTATCCATTAATTATTTGCGTAATCAACCTTACAAATTTATAAATACCCTAAGACTGAATAGTTTAATACTGATTTAAAATTTAATACTCAGATAGATTAGAGAGTTATCGATGGTAGAGGTCCAAAAAATTTTTTGCGTTGATTAATTTTATGATAAACGTCTAAAGCGAACTTCCCCACGGCACCTATAAATAGGGTTGTTAAATTACAGTAATTTTACGTAATTTTACGTAAGTTTGTGTAAGATTCTGTAAATTGAAATTTCATGTAATTGTAATTTTGAACACATGATATTTAGTTTCTGAGATCAAATTTTCGGCGATTTAGGTTTTACATTTCAAATCGTACATTCAAATCAATCGCTGCAATAATGCTGGCCGAAATTTTGTAAATCTGGTACTTTATGTATGACGTGTGAAAGTTAACATGAAAATTGATTTTCTGTAACTTATGTAAAATTACATGTAATGTAAAATTGTAATTTATGTAACACAACCCTACCTATAAATTGATATAGTTACATGATTGTTGTTTAATCATATTTAAAGATCGGATAGGCTAATTTTGGTCAGATTCGGAATCAAAAAACTTTGAAATTGGCCAAACGATTTTAGACCACAATCAAATGATCTGCAAACTCGGCCAGAGTTATAAGTAATCCGTTATGCTATTTTAAATCAATCAAAAGTTACAGCAGAGACCGTTAATGTTAACAGCATTTAAAATACCAGTCTAAAAATTGCGCCGACCATTCAAATTTCGAGATCAGGTGTAACGTGAAAAAAGTAAAATAATCCAAAAATCGTCCATAACTCTAAATTTTGCCTATGAAACTGTCTTCTGCGTATTAACAAAATGTTTTCCTTGCAAATTTTTGGTATAACCATGACCCTCTAAATCTAACTTGTAATACCCTAATAGCGAATTATTTTTTTTAGCGAAGTTTTTTCAATGTCACATGATGTGAGAAATTTTTCGCCTCGTGTTGCTAGTCTTGTAGTTAATGTTACACATATATTAAAACTAGTGAGGGATTATATCCATCACAATTGAATTCCACATAAATAATTTAATTTGGGGTATATGTTTATAGAGTATCCGTGCCATGCTAAATTAGAGTATAGGATCGTTATTAAGCAAAAATGGTACTGTAAAGTACTAATATCTATATAAATATACTGCGAAATACCCAAATATTATTTAATTATACTGCGAAGT